TAACATTAATTTTACTTATGTTGTCCTAAATTTTTGAGTAAACTAGAGATTTAAAGTTAAATATGTGGCTTACATTCTCTCCTGTTTCTATCCCAAAGCACTAGAATATCAAGTCAGTGGAACATACTTGGGAAAATACTTCCTGACAGGCAGTTGCACCTATAAACTGCAGCTGTGGTTACCTCCATAAGAGCATGTAAGATTGAACTCATCAGTATTTCATCATGGAAGAGAGAGGGAATCTAAAGCCCATCTGTTCCTAAGGGACACTGACAGTGTGGTTGGTGGGGGACAGAGAGTGTCACTTTCTACAGTAGTGTGTCTGCTGATGCACTGCCCATGTTCTAGTAAATAACCTTTCTCTCCCATGGTCATGCAGGCAACCACAGTTACTCTCAGTGGGACATACATACATACATACATACACACACACACACACATACACACACACACACACACACACACACACACTTACAGAACCAAGAGGAAGACTTGTCTGGAAGGAGATGGGCTTCAGAAGGAGAGGGAAGGGGATGAAAGAGTGGAATGGGGGGGGCGGTTGGAAATGACTAAAATTCATTCGATGCATGTATGAGACTGCCAAGGAATTAGGAACAATAAAATATAAAAACAACACATAAAAGAAGGTTCACGTGGAATGAGTGTCAATGGAAGTCAGATATTAAGCAGATAAAGACAGGGGAGTAGGAATAAGAAAACACTTTAAGGGAAACATGACATAATCAAGAGATGGTCATGGATTTGCACATGACAAAATGAGTCCAGAGTGTTCGACTGCCAGGAAAGGTGCCCATTTATGGTGATTGATTGCTTTAACTGAACATCTTCTCATATTACCTGCAATTGCTTTAGGCAAGAAGGTAGAGATGGTGAGGAGAAGAAGCAGGGGATGATTTACAAAGCATGCTGCAGACTTTATAGACCGGCCTTGCCAAAGGCCGGAGTTAGCACAAGGCAATCATTGTGTCAGTCAATGGCTACAATTGCTCTGAGAAATTTAATAGCATTTGGTAAGTAATCTCTCTCCTGTAAAAGTTTCTTTACCTCTTAAAGATGAATCATTTACTTCTAGAAAACACTACACTTATGGGAAGTTCAGTTCAGAGTCAGAATTAAATTCTGTTGCCCAAGTATGGCCAGATTTCATGGGGTATGGGGGTAGGGGTGGGAAGGAGGATCAGACTCTAAAAGGACATTGCAGATCTCCTTTTCACTCTTTCCAACAGCCCTTTGAAGGCTCTGCTGTACCTGAGAGCATCCAGTCAGTAACAAACTCTCCAGAACTGCATCCCTATGCTTACCACCCATTACCACGCCAGCCTGTCCGGGGAGTGCAGGGTGGGATTGAGTGAAGAACCAAGGTGTGTGGGCTGAAGTGAAAGTTTGTAGTAGAGGTTAATGAAACATGCCTAGTAGGTTCTGAATAGATCGTACCTATTACTGTGTTTTTCAGATTCATCTCTTAATATGCATGGCAATTCTCAACATGCATGCACACATATATGTGTCTTTTACTAATGCCAGAGAAATTATTGAACTACTGTCTTCTCAGACTTCTTTGCTGTTCTTTATTCAATATCCTTTTTGATATTTCAGTTAAAGATAGTTTACAATTTTATTTCATCTTCCAAATAATTACCACATTACATTATAATAATATGAAATCTAAGTCTCACATTCTTATACCCTCTCTTTTGACTATATTGTAACAGTTTCTGATAGAGCTTTACAACAGAAAATTTTTTATATTTATTTATTGATATGTGTGCATATACATAAGTATGCATGCCAACACAGGCCATGTGTGAAAGTCAGAGACCAGCTTGAGAAATCTAAATGTGAACTTACATATATTGACCTATAAATATTACCTTATAACCTGTTTTTGAAAACTCTTTACTATATTACAGATATCCTTTTTGCAGCTGTAGATTTAGAATAATTTTTTGTAATAGCCACTTTCTACCAAATGATGGTTCCATTGTCTATTCCTGTCATATATTTATGTGTCCACCCTTTTATGGTGGACATGTAAGCTATGTTGGCTATTCACTATGAACTAGAAGCAGGCTCATTTTTCAAGTCAGTTTCTGAAGAGGCAGTCGGTAGACAGACTTTCATAGTCAGATTGACAAGCCACTCCAGTTATTCTAATTAGGTACCACTGATGCACATGATAGAACATGTGGCTCCTCACCTCTTTTCATCTGAAGGTTTATTATTATTCATGTTAAATTCCCTTCTTTGCTTCATGTCCATTAATAATACCTCAGAGTTCAGCTGCCATCATCCACTTTTGACTACACATTTGTGGGGCTTGGGTCAGATGCATAGAAATCAAAACCAAACACTATTTTAGCTCAATAAATTCAAGTTCCTAAGCATTATAATTTTCAGAAGTTTGTATTAAGAATGAATTTGTAAAGTATTTTCTCTTTTTTCCTAGCCCCTTGCACAATTTCTGGAACACATTAGAAATTAAATAAATACTTGTTGAAGAAATGGGTGAATGGACGCATCCACTATTAATTTGTGATTTAACTATTGACAAATACCTGGACCAGTGAAGCTGCTTCCTTCCACAGTTAAATAATCACTGTGATTTAACGTTCAATTAATTTTTCTTTCTTTTGAAAAATTCACTTGTAATTGACACACAGTAATTATATATTTATGGTATAGAGCGATGTTTTGATCCATGTATGTATAACACAATGTTCAAATTAGAAGAATGAATGCATTCCTCACCTCAGATGTTGATAATTTCTTGGTGGTGCTGAAAATCAAGATCATCTTTTTTAGCTATCTTGAAATACACAATTCTGTTAGCTGGAATAACTGGACAGAACATGTGGAGTAGAATATCAGGATTTACTTTTCCCATCTGTAAATTTGTACCAGTTGACACATTCCTTGCTCTCCTCTGTCTACACTACTCTCCCAGCCTCTGTGAGTTTAGCAGCTTTCTGTCACTATGAGGAAACAACTGAGACAATCAACTCAATAAAGGAAAAGGTTTGTTTTGTCAAGGGCATGGGTTCAACCTCTTGCACTCGAAAGAATAAAAGCAAAATGGTTTATTTTGCCTCAGGGTTGCAGAAGTTTGAGTCCATGCTCTCTTGGCTCTGCTGCTTTGAGCTGTGGCTGCTCAGTAGATAGATCATGCTGAGAACATTTAATAGAAGTGACCAGTTTACTTCATGGTGGCCAGGGATCAACAAGACACAGGAAGGAGCTAGGATCCTGGTGTCCCATTTAATACAATAGCACAGCTCCGATGACTCAACTCTCTTACACTAGCTCTACCTGCTAAGAGTGCCACCAGCACCACAAAGGGCTGCGGACCAAGCCTTCAACACATGGGCCTTTGGAGATCATTGAAGATCCGACTGAAAGCGCTGTGGTGGTGTTCTACCCTGTGTGCTCATCTTTTCAGTTTCCTCCTGTAATTGTTATCTTACGGCATTTGTCTGTGACTGGCTTGCTTCACTTAACATGATGAGCTCTTGTTCCTTTTGTGTTATTCCAAATGACAGGATTTCATTCTTTTTTAAGAGTATCCCAGTGCATATATGTGCCTCATTTCCCCCATCCATTCATCAGTTGATGGACACTCAGGTTACTGCCCTGTATTGACTATTGGGACAGTGCTGCAATGAACAGGGCCATGAGAGGACTTTCAAGCCCTCTGCTTTCTTTCTTTCTTTCTTTCTTTCTTTCTTTCTTTCTTTCTTTCTTTCTTTCTTTCTTTCTTTCTTTCTTTCTTTCTTTCTTTCCTTCTTCTTTTTTTTTTTTAACTCGTGAGTTGGACTGCTGCCTCAAACAGTAGGTAGTGCTTTTTCCAGTTTGCTGAGGAAACTTGCATACTGCTTTCCATGCTGACTGAGGTCCTTTACACCCTCTGCAACAGTTCATAAGCGGCCTTTTTTCACACCCTGCCAAGGTTCATTATTTTGTGCCTTTTTGATATAGCCATTCCAACCAGAGTGAGGTAGTACTTAACAGTTTTGATTTCCCTGATGATTAATGATACTGAACATTTTTTTCTATACATCTGCTGGCTACTTCTTTTGAGAAATATCTGGTCTTTCTCCTCTACATTTAGAGATAAGTGGGTGGATTCTAGCAATCAAAATTTACCATGTTCATCATGGTCAAGGTCTGCTGTCTATGGAGAGGAATGATAAACTGCATCCTCATGGCCAGGTCTGACCTGCTGCCTGTTTAGTATAGCTTATTCCACTTTGAAACATTTCTGTGTGGTTGGAAACGATCAGAATTGCCATGTCTGTGGCAGGTAAAACCTGTATAAAGGTTCATTTCAGTGGCACACTGCTATGTTCATGCTTTCCTGCATAACTTTAGTTGCTTTTGTGTATAAGCTGGAGCCACAGAGGGGCCCACAAAACCTGAGACTTTACTCTCTAGTCCTTTATTAAAAAGTGCCACTTTCTAGTTTAGACTCAGATGTACTTTTGAGGGGTCAAGGGTTCATAAGGCTCACTTGTTAGACTTTGAAAACCTAAGAAGTCCACTGAATGGACAAATTCCTATTTTTGTAACAACTTGAAAATTATAGTGGTAGCACATTTTCTATTCTCTTTTACTACCTTACCTCAGCGATAAAGACTACAGAAATTTATGTTGTTTGTTGCTGTTGTTTTCTGAAAATGCACTAGTACAGGATTTTGAATGTCAGTGTTGAATGTTCAGCTCCACTTATCCCAAGTCTGTCGAGGCTACTGGGACTCTTCTGGCTTTCCAAAGCTCCCTCCAGGCCCCCACCTGACCTACGGTCACAGGCCTGGACGATGGAAGTTTCAGTTCATAATTTAAGACAAAGGTTTTAGTATTGGGGTCTTTGGAAAGCCTATGAAAAACTGAAGGTCATGCATATATCTAGGTGTATAAAAGTTTGAATTTGTATTTATATTTTAGAGTTGATATTTTAATTTTTCATTAGTTTTGTTTTTCTACAGCACAAATACTTATTTTTCACAAGATTGCTGATACCAAGGCTGGCACATGAGGAAAAAGTTCCATTAATGTCATCCTCAAACACGTTTCTGACATGAGGACTATAGAATGTTCTCACAGGCATGTATCCTTATTTCTTATCCTTGTTTTTTTGTAGTTTTTTAAAAACAGTCTCACTCTGTAGCCTAGATTGGTCTGGAATTTCCTATGTAGATTAATCTTGCCTGAAGCTCATAGTGACCTTCCTGTATGGGCCTCCCCAGAAATACTGACTTTGAATTATGACAATTTCAGAATCCATTTTAGCATAGTACTATCTATTGTTCTCCACAGAAACAGATCCAACTTTTAAATTTCCATAATAGAAATGTTGGTCAAGTATGGTGGCTCATGCCTGCAATCTCAGCACTTGGAAACCTGAAGCAGGAGGACTGACATGAGTTCATGCTCTGCCTAGGTTGTGTACTATGGGACAAGACTAGACTACAGAGCAAGATTCAGACCCCAACCACCAAGGCTGGAAATTTCCACAGGAGAAGACTTGTAGGTTTGTACCCATGCATGCCATGGCAGTCTGAAGGCAGAGATCCTTCCTAACTCATTGTTTATTTTATGTGTATGACTGTGCACCATGGGAGCACTTGGGAATCACAGTGTTTGTAAGCCACTATGTTGGTGCTAGGAATCATACCCAGGTTCTCCACAAGAGCAACACGTGCCATTAACCATTGAGCCATCTCTTCAGCCCTGAGATCCTTAAGGCTTTCAGCTGATCGGACAAGGTCTTCTTACATGATTGAAAATAATCTGCATTATTGGAAGTCTACTGATTTATGTGTTAAGTGCATATACAGCATATACAACATCTTCCTCTTTCATAAATTCTGCTAATTTTTAAAAATTTTACATTTGAGCTCTCTCTCTTTCTTGCACCATCTCCTTCCCCACTGTGTGTGTGTGTGTGTGTGTGTGTGTGTGTGTGCTTATAGAGGTCTATTGTATGACACTATCTTTATGGAGATGCGAATAAACATTTACTCACCCCAGATAAGGAACCAATGGCAGACCAAAGTAACTTTTAGTACACTAAAATTCGACTTAATGAACCAATAAGTTTTATTGGAGTTATAGGAATACGGATGAGGGTTACTTACAGGAGCAGAAACGGCGCAAAGAAAGCTACATCCCCAAGAGCCCACCTAGCATGAAAGCTGAAACCTAGGAAGTTACTGCATGATTTGATCAACAGGTTTGCTAGTGTCTCTTCCAAGGCAGCTTGGCTAGTCTGCAACTGTTCTAGGCACCTCAACTTGTCTGAAAATGTCATCACTCCTTGCTACTTCTATAAGCTTGAGGAGAGAGGGTCCTAGAGTATCTGGTCAGTTTCAGGGACTTCCTGAAATTTCTGAATTGTTTACTTTTTTAGCTTAAGGAGCTTCCCTGCAGGATGGAGTCTTTCCCTTTAGAACACGTTTCTCCCCAAGTTAGAATGCGCTATGCAATAAGATCAGAGGTCATCTTGTCAGTTTAAGGCCAACCTGATCTATATAGAGAGTTCCAGACCAGCTAGGGCTATATAGCAAGACCCTGTCTAAAAACAACAACAATCAAATAAAAATTCCAAAAAAAACCCTTAAAATTTGTAGGAATCTAAAGCACATTGGAGCATTTCATCTGACTCCTTAGTTTCTCTTCCAGAGTAACACCCTTGTCCAGACCCATTGCAATTGTGGGAGACATGCTATTGTGATAGGAAGAAAAGCAGCACCCAAGGAACCCATAATCTAATCTTAAAACCTGTGAATATGCTATCTTAACAGGTAAGGGGCTATTAACTTTGCTCATGAACTGACCTTAAAGTAGGGATAGGACTCTGGATTACCTTTAAATGTGGAAGAAGGAACAAGAAGAAGACATTGGAGGTGGTAAGACATAATGTAGACTGAATGATGTGTCCACCTTTTCCAAGCTCATGGGTAAAAGTTCCAACATTCTGTGTGATTTGGAGATGGGGGGTGGTCTGTCTTAGAGTTTCTATTGCTGTGAAGATACACCACAACCATGGCAACTCTTAGAAGGAAACATTTAATTGAGGCTGGCTTACAGTTCAGAGGTTTAGTCCATTACCATCATGGTGGGAAACATGGTGGCATGCAGGCAGACACCGTGCTGGAGAAGTAGCTGAGAGGCCTACATCTTACAGGCAACAGAAAATGTTCTGTCTTACTGGGAGTAACTTGAGCAAAGGAGACCTCAAAGCCCACTCCCACAGTAACACACTTACTCCAACAAAGCCACACCCATTCCAACACAAACCACTCCTCCTAATAGTTCCACTCCCTGTGAGCCTATGGGGGCCATTTTTATTCAAACCACCACAGAGTCTTTGAAAGTTGATTGGAGTCAGAGGAGTTCACGGGAGGGGAGACTCTCATGATGATGTGATTAGCGCCCTTCTAAGAGAGCACTAATGTGTGAGGGCAGTTCAAGAAGATAGCCATCTCCAAGCCAGAAAGTGTGCCCTACCACACAACCTGACCATGCTGGTTCTTGATCTTAGATACCCAGCCTCCAGGCCTGTGGGAAGCAAAACCCTGTGTTTAAGCCATGTATTTAGGACAGGAGACCAAGTTGATTAAGATGAGAGATGAGAAAGACTTTTCCAAAGTCATTGGCTTTTAGCACAAGGAAGTAAACATAAGCTGAAGAAAGTAGGCAACCTCATGCCAGAAAAGAAATTGTTACACCAGTCTACCAGCAAGGCAGGCAAACCCACAGATACCTTGATTTCAGGCTAGGAGACAAAACCTGCTCTGTGCCCGAGAGACCAGAAAATAATATGGATTTGTTATTGTTGGCCACAAAGAGCATAGTAGTTTGTTTCGGCAGCAGAACAAACATATATAGGTACTAAGCATGGGATGAAAAGAGCTGAGCTCTTAATATTTCAGCCAATTCAAACCTATTAAAGTTCAAACTATATTTATTAAAAATAGAAAGAACATGTCAGCTGCTGAGCAAGGCTGGCACTGTTAAGGGGAATGTCACACTTGTGGGAGAAAATGTTCCAACTCCTTCAAAAGACTGTTAGCACACCTTTGACACAGTTCTTTTTATTTCACTAAAACTCTTTGGAGAAACTTGCAAGCAATCAGCTAAGATTACCGAACCACACTGACTCACTCCTTCAGGCAACCCAAAGGAAACTGCTTTTAATAATACTAAACTGAGCATGCCCTAAAGTGGTTCATGTCTGCCACCTCCCTTTTCCTTTTCTGAGTCTGGATTTCATCATGTGGCCGTAGCCCTGGTTGGTCTGGTACTCAATATGTAGACTAGTCTGGCTTCAACACAGAGCCACTATTCTTACTTCAGCCTCCCCGGTGATGGAATTATAGGATATGCAACCACATCTACCTCACAATTCAGTTTTGATCATGAGCACTGGACCTTGAACTAAACCTACCCAGAAACATTAGTGTTGCAGGAATCCTAAATAGTCTTATAATGAAAACCTGGAGCCAGATATCAGGGTAAAAGCTAAAAGATCAGAGAAGCAGAGCAAGCCACAGCCACCACCTCGTACCTCACCAACTCCTCAGCCTGACAGAGCCTCTGCAAGAGAGCGAATTCCTGTCTCCTCCCATCTTATATTTCTTTCTCTGCCCAGCCATATCACGTCCTGTCTCAACCTTCCTAGGGCTGGCATTAAAGGTGTGTGATCCCAAGTGCTAGAATTAAAGGTGTGTGCCACCGCTGCCTGGCTCTTTCAGACTGGATTAACCTCATGTAACCCAGCGTGGCCTTGAACTCACAGAGATCCAGATGGATCTCTGCCTCTGTCTCCGAGTGCTAGGATTACAGGTGTGTGCCACCACTGCCTAACCTCTATGGCTAATTCTGTCCTCTGATCTTCAGACAAGCTTTATTACAAGACTATATCAGCACACATTAGCATCTGCCATCTTTCCTTTTGAACATATGAACATGCTTAGAATGTATTGGCTCCGGTTCTTTCTTTCATGAGTAGTATAGGTAACACAAAGGGAGAACGGTGCTGCGCAGATAATCGCTGTGCTCTCCTCCACTGCTATGACCATGCTCAGCTCTCCCCTTTCCGGCTGTGCTATGGCTTTGTGTTCACCAAGGTGTAAAATTGTTGTACTTGGTTATAAGAGGAAGAGGGCATTTTTTTTCTTAGCAAATACTTTATACAAAATATCAAAGGCTGCGCTTATCTCTGCTCCACTCTGTGTTGCTTGTATCAACCCAAGGCCTTTATTTTAAACACTGTCTAGAGAATTCCATTAGTGCTTATATTTTGGTATTATGAAATATTTATAAAGAGGAAATTAAGATTTTTATTTGCAATTAATTTCTATATTTACAGTTCAAAACAATGATTTAGTTGCTATTATCTTGACGTAACTAATCATTTAAAAATTTATCTTTTCCTAGCTTCTAAAATCAGAGAGTAAATAATTGCATGACTTTCCTGTTTAGTAATACTGTAACAACTGTGCCCTCTTCATGCTGAATACACCTTATTTTATTCATTTTTTTTCTAAATAACCAGTGAAATAGGGACTCTGGTTTAGCAAGAAGGCGTGGTACAATGCTCAGTGTGGTAGAGTTGGCAGTTTGATCCCAGGCAAGCTGACTACTGGGACAGTGACTTTAACCATTTCCCTCACTGCTACACACAAAGCGACCAAGCATAGCATGAAGTAAAGTAAAAAAAGATGAGCAAAATTTTAAAAGGAGGGTTACCTATTTCCTTCTATTTATTTGTGTATGCATCCACCTACCCACTCATTCACTTACTGACCCATCCATCCATCTATTTATCCATTGATTTTTTTTTTTCTCAGGGGGTGGTCTGGTTTGAGGGAAAAAAAATTCCCAGTCAAGTAGGCTGGGAATTAAGGTCATCAAAAGAGGGAAAGCCTTCCTTCCCTTCTATAATATCTCTTGCCATTTCTTAGTAGAGAAGTTATTCCTAAATGATATTGTTATCTGTATTCTTTCTTCTTTTCATCAAGACTAGAAGAGAAAACCCAGACCATCCTATTGAACTCTGAGTGTTGACCACAGGCCTTTGAACTGACCCAACAGGAGTAATACAGGGCAATGGGAAGTCTGCTAAAACAGAAGGTTTGTGAGTCCAAATGCTCCCACTTATTTAAAATGGAATCCCTTTACCTAAAGTTTTCTCGTCTGGAAAATACACAGACCTTTTCTGGACTGCTTTGAGGAAGAAATAAAGTGTTCTCAGGGTACATCAACAGTGTAGCTGCTCCTCAGTGTTAGGAATATGCTTTCCTCCCTTCTCTGCACCCACCTCCAGAATCACGTAACTTTGTTCTGTGTGCTAGACATAGAGCTGGCACTTACTAGATTTGTGGGTTAGAGCTGCTTTCTTAATCTCTGTGACACCTGCATTTCTTTAACATATAGAACAGGGAACAGATATATTGGCTTTGATTATCCAGTAGTGTTCCTACCCATCTCTATTTCCTTTTAATTGTTTTGTTCCAACACTAGAAGAAACTATCTCTATGGGCTTGAAGACTAAATCACTATTCAGCTAAGAATAGGATGCTAATGAAGACCTTGGAGGAGTGGAGGTGTGGCACAGTGGTAGAGCACTCACTTACACGTATAATTACTAGCAACACATGCAGTCTCATTGAGACATATGGGTTTTTTTTTTCTTTACAGTTTTTAGTTCTTGTTAGTTTTCTTTAGAGACAGGGTCCCACTCTGTAGCCTGGGTTATTCCCAAACTCACAGCAATTCTTGTCTCCCAAGTGCTTTGATTACAGGAGTGAACCAGCATGCCTAACTTGTTTTTATTAGTGACTTTTCTATTGCTGTTGCCCAAACTCTGGAATTAAGGCAACTTACCAAAGACAGAGTTATTTGGAGCTTATGGTTCCAGAGGTGTAGAGTCTACAATGCTGGGGACAGCTGGTGGCAGACAAGGAGGCTGGAGCTGGAAGCTGAGAGCTCACATCTAGAACCACAAAGCAGGGAACAGCACACTCAAGATGGGGTCAGTCTTTTGGATTCTCAAAGCCCAGCTCCAGGGACATACCTTCTTCCAGTAAGTCTACAGTTCCTAAGCCTTCCTGAACGGGGCTACCAAGCATTCAAATGACTAGAACATGGGGAGCATCTCATTCAAACCACCACATCATTATTCCTTTGGCTTGTTCTTGTCTTATTTTGTTTGAGACAGAGCTCACCGTGTAGCTCTGTCTGGCTTGGAAATTGCTGTATAGACCAGCCTGGCTTCAAACTCACAGAGCTCTGTCTGTCTTTGTCTCTTGAGTGCTGGGATTAAAGGCATGTTCCATTATGCTCAGCTTAAATGTGTGTGTGTGTGTGTGTGTGTGTGTGTGTGTGTGTGTGTGTATGTGTGTGTGTGTATGTGTGTGTGTGTGTGACTGAGACTGTATGTATGTATATATGTAAGTACATGTTTGTGTATGTATATATGTGCACCACATGCCTATAAAAGCCAGAGAAGATCAGAAGAGAGCACTTAGTCCCTTTGAACTGGAGTTACAGGTGGTTGTGAACCTCCATGTGGTTGGTGGGCCCCAAACCTGGCTTTTCTGCAAGAACAACACATCTTCTTAACCATGGACTTGGATCTCTAGCTTACTATTCTTAAATTTAAATTTCTTCTGATCTCAAACAATGTCTTGAAACTGACATATGAGCTGGACATGGTGGTGAATGTTTGTAATTCCAGCTCTTAGGAGAAGGAGCCAGGAATGTCAAGAATTGGAGAGCAGCCAGGACCTTTATAGCAAGACCCCATCTATCTCAACAAAAGAAAACCAAAACAAGCAAACAAACCCCAGCAAAACTTATGAGTGGCTTGTTACTCCTTTTAGAACAGTTCAAATAGACTCAAACCTCATCTGCAGCTCCCCTCTCTTTACATTGGTCTTTTCCCACTGTTGTACAATGTACCAGCAAGTTCCTGCCCAAAGCCTGTGCCGTGAGAACAACCTTCATTTCCTTCTCCATCTCTATCCAACTGCTCAGCCGTCCAATCTTGCCCTGATAGGAAATTGCTTTGGGAAAAATTCTGTTTTCCTCATTGTCATCTATCCGTGACTATGACACTTGATTACTGCTTGGTTGATTACTGTCATTTGTGGCATATTTTTTTCTCAAATTAATTCTTTACTTGTGTAATTATTTGCTTAACGTCTATTCCCCTGATAGGTTATAACTCTTGTTCAACATTGGCTCTATAGTTTTCAGTACATGCTTGGAACATGCTTTGTTCCACACACGATTGGATAGGTCCAGGACATTTCTTGGTAGTGATGAAACTGAAACCTACAGAGGTTATGTCAAACTCATAATAAAACTCATGTCCACACTCATAGTGGTGGCCAGTGATGAGGCAGGCAAGCATAGGGAATAGTTTAGTGACTGGGACTCCACTTGTTTGTGGGTATGAACCTCTTACCCTCTAATAACGTACTTGGCAGCCTTGCTCCTGTACCTGCAAGTATGATGCACACATATTACCCTCCAAACAACACCCCTGGCAACCTCTAACCTACCTGCAGCAGGCTACGCATGCACCTCTCTCTGAGCAATGGAGTAATTTCCTCTTCCCTTTGATGACCATTAGACTCAGGCAGGTTCTGTTCAAAGGCATTTTCAGTCCATCCTGATTAAAGAGTAACAGGGCTGATTTGGTTGGATTTAGTTTTGAGTGTCTAGCAGCAAGACAAAACTATCCCAATCGAACTTGTAGGGAGACTCAAGTCCAGGTCTTCTTTGTCTCTGGGTGCAGCAACACAGCATTGGGGTGTGAGGGAAGGGTTGGAGGGTCAGAACCCTTGCTGCTGGTTCCTGATGACCTCAGTGAAAGTCATGGCAGGAATATAAGGCCTCCATCCTGCATTATCACACTTCAGCCCTGCACTCTACAGCGTGCTTGGGACCCCAAATTCTGTCTCCATGGTATATCCATCTGGTCCTTGGTAGATGACTCTTCTATCTTCTAGGACCTGTTGTGTATGGGAGTGGGAGAGTATAATTCATTGTGTGGTGCTTTTTAATGACTCAACATGAGGTGCCCTCACTCACATGCTGGGGCTGAATTTCTGCTACAGCATTTTTAATTTCAGGGTTTCACCTCCATCAAGGTATCTAGTTCTTGGTCAGTTCACCTAACTGTTCCTTCGGTGTGTGTGTGTGTGTGTGTGTGTGTGTGTGTGTGTGTGTGTGTGTGTTGGGGAACACTTCCCTGGCAATTTCAAATGATCTTGGCAAGAGCACCTTGTGCAACTAGAATAGCAGATCACCAGATCAACCTCCTACTTTCAGACCAGGATGTACTGGAAATACCAAGTACATACCTTGCCTGAACTGTGGCTAGTGCCTATTCTGATAGAGCTGAACCAAACACTCCCAGCTTCTTAAGTATGTTTAATGCATTATCATAGTGTGAATTGAGTGCCCCATTGCCCATAAGTTCCTATGTTGAAATCCTAAGCTTCGGTTCCTCAGATGTGACTGTACAAGCAGCTCTACCTACATGGGTTGCTTAGCCACAAAGTCCAGCAGGCAACATCAAAGTTATTCAGAAAAACAAACTAATGAACAGAAAAACAAGCAAAAAAAGCTCCTATTAATGGCATCTATAGTACACATGTACAGATTTCCTCTCTCATTATTATTTTCTTTTTCTTTTCTTTTTCAGTCCTGGAGTTCAAGCCCAGAGCCTGGGATTTCTGCGTAACATGGTAAATTAGAAGCCCCACTGATGTGGATGCATTAGTGAAATAAAATAGGAAAATACTCAGTCATACCTATCGCAGGAGGAGATAATAGCCGTAAACAAATTCGTTTAGTAAGCCAGATGAGATCTCTGCTGGGAAGCAGGCAGGGGGACGAAGATGGGAGAAAATAAAGGCTGTCATCAGAGACGGTGCCCGGGAGTGGAGAGAAGGAAATGGGTTGGGAAGCAAGTAGTTGCAGACTTCCTTTAAGGGGCGAAAGTGGAGTCTAGAGAGGTGACTCAGCAGTTGAGAGCACTAGCTGCTCTTCCAGAGGACCCGGTTCCATTTCCAGCACCCATGTGGCGGCTCATAACTGTCTGTAACTCTAGGCCCTAGGGATCAGATACCCTCTCCTGGCCTCCACAAACACTATGCACTTATTGTGGTGTACAGATATACATGCAAGCCAAACACGCATGCATGTACAATAAAATTAGAAGCAACTGAGCCTGAAGGGACTCTCATGCTCACCACCAATGGATTGTGGCAGAATAAACGCTCCTGGGAAGTCTGATCAGCTGCGACTGTCTGCACACTACCTTTCCTTATCTCTGTTCCTGAGCAAAGCCTGAGGTCAAAGGTGGTTTGGAATTCCTGGTGACCTGCATGGAGGCCTGAAGTCATATAAGTATGAAAGAGACCCATTTCTACATTACCTGTCTTCTAGGTTAAGGATCTGGAGGGCCAGGGCTGGAGATTGACAGGGGCCCTGTGAATGCATTACATGTTAAGCTAAGGTGTTCATAAATGAACATTCAAGATGCAGTTGCCCATTTTAACACAGAGCAAAATGAATTAACTCGGGGTTGGGGATTTAGCTCAGTGGTAGAGCACCTGCCTAGCAAGCACAAGGCCCTGGGTTTGGTCCTCAGCTCCAGAAAAAAAGAAAAGAAAGGAAAAAAAAAAGAAAAAAAATGAGTTAACTCAGATTATTGAGTAATTGTTTAGCTGCTATGTAGATTCTGGGAAAATCTTAAAAATAATATGCAAATCATTAAAGTTTAGAAATGCTGATATAAAGAAATCAAATAAGTCTGACTAGAATTCAGAATAATGACACTAGTGACAGCCTTAACAGTTCTAAGATTTCTATTTTTTTTTCTATGGGAAAATGGGAAAATCATTACCAGATCTGCTTGTCTCTGTTTTGTTTGTCATGAATTCTTTGAGTCCCATTTTTTTTTCACCCAATGAAAGATATTTATTGGGTATGTTTTGCATGTTAGTAAAAAAGTGTTCTGTAGAGTTAAAATGAGTTGTTTCTGGGGAGAGAAATTTACTTCTGCAATTTTTGTATAATGACCTGGTATTTTAGTTTAAACTCTTGATAATGACATTCATTTCAAAAGATCATGAGAGGTGATTTAAATTAAAATAAGACATGTCTTTTCTCTACCAAATATGAAAATCAAATGTGTGTTAGTATAGGAGGGCATTAAGGTTAGAAGGTGCTGTTTTTCATTTCACAACTAGAACACACAGAGAATCCACATTCAACCCTTTCTGATGTTCACACGAGCCTGGGGATCTCCGATACTCTGCTAAGTGAGAGCAGAGATGTCAAGATCCTTCCTGCAGGAGCTCATACCTAAGCACTAGTGATCAAATCTGCACAGCACAGTGGGAGAGAGAGGAACTAAGCCGATATGATAGAAAAGGTCAGGCGAGTGCTCAGTGCTCTGTGCTGAGAGTGTAGGAAATGAGCTGTTGGAGACCAGGAGGTTGGGGTTAGAGAAGGTAGGAGGAAGGACACCATCTAGATTTCTCAGTGGGATGAAATAACAGATGTGGGTCAAAAGGGGGACACAGAGATGAGCCAAAGACACCTGAAAAACACCTAAAAAAAGAGTTTGTTAGACATGGTTTTCTCTGTGTTTTATTGCTTTAAAGCAACCTGTCTTAATCTGTTTGTGTTCTTATAATAAAATTCCCAAGACTAGATGACTCATAAGGAATGGAAATCTCCTTTTCTGATTCTGGAAGCTGGGAAGTCCGTCATCATGATAGAATCAGGAACCAGTGCCTGTGGTTTCTGAAGCCTTGCTACATCAATAGGATAGAAGTACCAAGGACAGAGAGGATGCTATGTCCTCCTGTGACAGAAGAGAGAAACACATGAAAGGGCCCAGCTTTCTCCTCCTGCCCTTCTCAAAGGTCACCAATCCTTTCATGTGGGCTCTGCCAGCATGATTTAATCATCTCTTAGAGGGCCCTTTTCTTAATACCATCACATGGTTTTAGGTTCTAATATATTAGTTATGGAGGGACATACACATTCAAACCACAGCCAGCATGCGAAAGCTTTGCTTCTCAGCCTGCTCCCAAGGAATACATATTTCTTTGTGTGCTACTAATACATGAAGAGTGAATGATGACACACTTGAAAGGGTTTTGGTCAGCTTGATGGTTGAGCCTACACTGACGGGGAGCTTTGTAGGACAATACGTCAGTGATGCTGTGGAGAAGGTAAAGGTTTTCAAATCTCCTTATGATTTTTCAATTAATTGGCCATGTAACCCTTTACGCTAACAGGGCAGCCACAGCGGCCCTTTGTCTTTTCCCAACCAATACTTCCTATAGGAATGCGTTTGTCCTGCTGGGCCACAGCTGACCCTTGCATCCTAACAGTGTCCTTTCCAGGATGGCTGTGGCTAGCTCTTCTGTTCTTCTACTTTAAGTTACAGTAATTATAACAGCTAATACTGCCTAGTCTCTGCCACTCCACTACTTTGTGAAGTTCAGAGAACTCCACATTCAATACGCCACTGATTCCTCAGAACAAGCTGTATGAGAAAAATCCAACTCAGAGTACAGAAGTAGAGACTAGGAAAGGTTAAATGATTCAGTAAAGGTCACTCAGCTAAAAGCGGTAGGACTGGGATGGAGCTCAGGCTTTCTGGCTTTGTCCTTTTATCTTGCACTGTTGCCTCCCAGGAGGCCATATTGAAGCCGGAAGTGGGGAGGTGGGAATCATGGGATTGCGCCTCACGGAGTCATGCTCTCATACTTCTCCCTCAGAAACAGAGAGCATGTCCTGGATGTCATCTCCGATAAGTTGCCACTTTGCTTTTCCTCAGACACCACGAATGACCTTCGACATGGTGACATACAAGGCAGCTCGGACCATGTTTCAACAGCTCTGAGAATCGCCCGGTTTTCCCACGTTTTGAGTGGAAATGATTTCTCTCTCTAAGTTTACCTACTTGGCATGATTCTGTTGTTTGGATCTTGACCAAGAGGGGCTTTTCTTCTTTCTGATGGACAGGTCTATACATTGGGCAACTCAAGTGCACTTGAAACAGTTTCCTGCCACACCCTAAATTCCTTTTCATACTTACAGAAGAGCCAAGTCTCATTCTGCCAAGGATGGTCCTTTGCATTGGTTACTGTGAGCAGCTCATTACCTGTGCCCATTAGCCCAGAATGGCATGCTTGCACAAATGATATTAACTTTGCTTTAGGGTTTATTTCATGGACAGAGTAAACACATTTCTGAGCAGGAGCCTTCATTTCTTTATTGGATCTCAGGCATTCAGGACACTGGCTTTATGCCTGGTCTTCTCGAGGCCCTGGTGTAAAACTGTTAAACCCAATAATTTATGTATTTGTAACTTAAAAGCAAATGAACATGTAGTAAAAAAGAAACACATACTTTTGTCAAGATGGAGGGCTAAGATTTTGAGAAAAATGGCAAAGTAGTTGTGATGGTTAGTGTTGTCAACTTGACAGAATCTAGCATAAGCCAGGAGCTGGGCCTCTGGCCATGCCTGCAGAAAATGCTTCCTTATGCTCTAACTGATGTAGCAAGACACATGCTAACTGTGTGAAGGTTATTCTCTCAGCAGGGAATCCTGGACTCCATAAAATGAAAACAAGCTAAGCACTAACATGCATGCATTGCTCACTTCTCCTGACTGTGGACACCATGGGACCCACTCCTTCTAACTCCCAGTGCTTCAACTTCCCTGCCATGATAGGCTGTACCCTGAGTTGCTGAAATTAACCCTTCCCTTCTCAGGTTGCTTTATTTGGGGTATCTAACTATAGCAACAGAAAAGAAATGAACACAGTTTTAACTGTCATGAGGGAACCTTGGTGTGATCCCAGAGGAAGATGGATTTAGGAGAGACTACCAAGGACAACTTGTGGTATTTTTTACCTTGTTTTAGGAGAGTGTGGCAGTTTGAATGGGAATATCCCCCATAGACTCCTTATATATTTGAATACTTGGCTCCTAGTTGGTAGAACTCTTTGAGAAGGATTAGGAACTATGGTCTTGTTGGAGGAGGTGTGTCACTAGAGGTGGGCTTTGAGATTTTAAAAGCTCACACCATTCCTAGTTAACATTTCTCTCTCTCTCCTTCCTATTTGTGGATAAAGATATAAACTCTCTTGTATCCTTGCCTACATCTAATAACCTATTTATAACTCCCTATATTTATGCCTCCCCATAACTATGTTTACATGCCAGTTGCCATGCTTCCTGCCATGATGAGCGGGGACTCACCCTCTAAAACTGTAGCAAGCCCATAACAACAACAACAACAACAACAACAACAACAACAACAACAACAAACAACCTCTTTCTACTATAGGCTGCCTTGGCCACGATGTCTCTTCCCAGCAATAGAAAAGTAACTAAGAAAGAAGGGTACAGGTTATAGAATGTGTGTGTGTGTGTGATGAAAACAATGTGTTCTCTGCAGTAGGCAAGCCCTCCTCTACCCTTGAGGACATGCCTAGCTCTTGCTTTTCGTTTTACTTTTAAAGACAGAATTGTAGTTTTATTTCCAGTGCTGTGATAAAACACCCTGACAAAAGCATTTTTTAATGGAGAAAGGGTTTATTTGGCCACAATTCTGGATTATTAACTGTCATTTTGGGGAAGTCAAGGCAGACATTTGAAGCAGCTAGTCATATCCACAGTCAAGAGCAGAGAGAGAATATAAATGCATACTTCTCAG